GAAATATAATATTCTGCCTCTTTTTAATACTAAGAATAAAGAATATTTTAATCTGGGGAGGAGGGCCTTCCTACACCAGGATATTTGGAACTGCAAAGAGGACAAGTATCTGTCTGAACAGATGTTGAGGGAATGCAGAAGCCATTTCCTTCTGCATCTCTCCATTTTACACATCATCTGATAGGTCTTCTGAAGGAAGCATTCCACAAAAAACACCAACCCTCTTCAACATAATCAATAAGGAGAAGGAGGATGGAGACAGTTGGCACTCAGCCCTGAATTTTCTTCAGAAATCATCTTGCATTCTCTCCTTCACTCACACACACACATGGACACACTTCCTGCCTCCCTTGGCTGGGCTCTCAGGTAAGGAACAGGCTGTTCTTTGGTTTCAGATGTCTTTTCTGCATAATGGGGGCGACGCGCGGAGGGAAGTGATTGTGCCAGGAGTGGGGGGAAATAGCCAGCAGTTGGCAACTACTTCCCAACATTTTGTCCTTCCAGGTGAGTTTGGATCACAATTCTCCACATTCTTGAGCAAAGCAGCTCGGGATTCTGGGAGCTGGGCTCCTGGCATGTAGGCTTTCACGAGGATACGAGGCTAAATAGAATAGAATAGAGTTGGAAGAGACCTTGGAGGTCTTCTAGTCCAGCCCCCTGCTCAAGCAGGATAACCTATACCATCTCAGACAGGTGAATGTCCAATCTCTTCTTAAAAACCTCCAGTGATGGAGCACCCACAACTTCTGGAGGCAAGCTGTTCCACTGGTTGATTGTCCTCACTGTCAGGAAGTTTCTCCTTAATTCCAGGTTGCTTCTCTCTCTGATCAGTTTCCAACCATTGTTTCTCGTCCTGCCCTCTGGTGCTTTGGTAAACAACGTGACCCCCTCTTCCTTGTGGCAGCCCCTCAGATACTGGAACACTGCTATCATGTCTCCCCTATTTCTTCTTTTCTTTAGGTAGGATGAACAATTTAGGGAGTGAGATATGTCTAGCCTATTAAAGAGAAGGCTTAGGAGGACATGATCATTGTCTTCAAGTACTTGAGGAAGGGGTCAAGTTATTCTCCAAAGCCCCTGGGCGCAGGACAAGAACTAAAAGTCAAAAGATCATTAAAGAGACAGTGAGAACAATTAATCAGCATGGAGCGGTTCTACCGCTTCCCCTGATCACCACGAGGCTGGGATAGGAAATTAAGGGGAGGAGATCAAGGGGAAGGAGATGGGTGTGTCCGGCTATAAGAGCAGAGCTTTCCCAGTCCTGAAAAACAAACTGGGGTTGAGTTGCTGTAGCCGCTTGGTCAGTGGGAAAGGAGGGGAAGAGATCTCTGGTAAGCAGATGAAATGGCGAGCATGCTGGATTTCAGTGACTTTGGTCTTCATTTAAGAGAATGACAGAGTTGGAGGGGACCTTGGAGGTCTTCTAGTCCAACCGCCTGCTCAAGCAGGAGACCGTATACCATTTCAGACAAGTCGTTGTCCAATCTCTTCTTAAAAAGCTCCAATGTTGGAGCATCCACAACTTCTGGAGGCAAGCTTTTTCCACCAATTAATTGTTCTCACTGTCAGGAAATTTCTTCTTAGTTCTAGGTTGCTTCTCTCCTTGATAAGTTTCTATCTGTTACTTCTCGTCCTGCCTTCAGGCGCTTTGGAGAATAGCTTGACTCCTTCTTCTTTGTGGCAGCCCCTGAGATACGGCTATCATGTCTCCCCTAATCCTTTTTTCCCCTAAACTAGACAAACCCAATTCTTGCAACTGTTCTTCATACGTTTTAGCCTCCAGCCTCCCAATCATCTTTGTTGCTCTGCTCTGCACTCTTTCCAGAGTCTCACCATATTTGTACCATAAGCTTATCCAGGTTAAGGATAGCTCTGCCAAAGGACATTTGCCCAAGTGCCAAGCAGGTAGGGCTCCTTCTTTATTTAGCCATTTGGCTTTTCTTCCAAAGACTGGAGAGGTATTGTGACTGTAGCATTCTGGCCTGCAGTTTTATTCCTGCAAATTGCCAGCTACTCAGTTACTGGACTGAGAAAGAGGGACTGGTCCACACCCACCAAGGAAATGTGCATGAAGTAGGTGGGTTTGGGGATGGGGGGGGGCTAACTCCATGGGTGAAGAGGATGGAAAAGTCAAGATGGCAGCCGCAACTCCACAACGGAAACTCTGTCCTTTTCCATGAGTTGCAGTGCCTATAAAAAATGGGTAGGGTTTTTAATTGAATGGGAAAGTTTTGAGTGTTAGTTTGGGGGGGGGAGGGGACTGAGTGAGTTGGGGAATACATTGCATTTACTTCGTTTATGATTCAATTCGAACAATTAAGTACAATTAGCATGTTATCTGGCTATGAATGAACATATCATAATTTTGGACCTTGTGATAGCAAGGGTTGATAAGTTTGGGTTTCTTTGTGGGTCAGCTGTTTTCTTTCCCCTTGCTACAAGACCTGGCTCTAACCAGGGTTTTGTTCTAACCATGGTTTGTTCCATGGCTTTAAACACAGCTTGTTACAAAGCCAAACAAAAGGCTGCTTTGGCTTTGCTTTGGCGTGGTTTGTGAAGCCAAGTTTTACTCCTAAACTATTCTGTCAGTGTTGTGGGACTGCTGCTAGCTGTAGAACACGTTAGCAGTAGCTCCCACTTCCAAGACATTCTCTTAGCATATTGTGTGAACCCTAACATGGTTTATTGTACATAGTATGATATGTGAACTTCGCTCTTTTGGTTTGTCGACTTAGCGAAAAGCATGATGTAGAACCTCAACTAATTTTATTAGGAATCTGATTTGTATAGTTCCCCTACCCCCAAGTCTCACTATCGTAGCTCTGGGTGGCTAATTAAAAACTCTAAATAACCACATAAAACTGGTGTGAACTGAATAACTGTTTCCCATAAGGACCAGAAACTTGCTTTAATTTATTTAGTCAATTTTAGTCCACTGCAGCCGATCCCATCCGGATGGGCTACAATTGGCTTTTTGCAACACTGTTCCCCCAGTAGAATCAAACTGCTTAAAAATTAAATTTGTATCCCAAAGGCCTGTGTTTGAACAAAACAAAAGCAATGACAAATAAATAGATGATTGCATTCAGTCTCTTAAATAGATTTTTTCCTTAAGGGTTTCTTACAACCTAGCAAGGAAGAGTTAAGTCATAAGAGCTGAGGTTCCGAATTCTTGGGACAGCCTCGGCTGCCTCAGAGTCAGTTAACTGAGAATGCTGGCCTGTGATTGTTGGGAGTGACAACGTCTGGTTAAAGGTGAGGAGTCCAGAGTTCATGGCAAGCTGGCCAGCAGGAAGGAAAAGGCTCACATCTTGGGTGTTGCTGAGTAACAAAATCAAGTTGTTTATTGTGACATCCATAATATTAAATATCTCTTGCTGGGTTTCTTCTTACAAACGGTTTAGCAAACTGAGCCTGCAACAGCTGCAAAATAGGCCATTTTGTCTAATACTTCTTCACAGGAGGGTGGAGAGGTGTGGGAGGGTATGCACAGAAAACTAACTGGGGGGAGGGAGAGAAACCATTTGGTCTAGTGGTAAAGGGACCAGTCTGGAAACTGGGAGATGGTGAGTTCTAGTCCTGCCTTAGGTATGAAAGCCAGCTGGGTGACTTTGGGCCAGTCACCAGGAGACTGGGAGTTCTAGTCCTACCATAGCCTGAAAGCCAGCTGGGAGACCTTGGGTCAGTCATTCTTAGCCCAAGCCACCTCCCAGGATTGTTGTTATGGGGGAAACAGGAGGAGTAAGGTATATTGAATATATTTGCCATCTTGAATTATTTGTAAAAATAATAAAGCTGGGATACAAGCAAATTTAGTCTAATTTTCTCCCCTAAAATGCCATTTTTATATGAAAGAGCACCGAACTATGATACTCATGAGAAAATAATTGCCGTGGCTACATTTTGGGGAGATCTTAAATCCACGTTTAGGTTCAGAGACTGTACTAAACCAGGATGTGTCTGCTCTGGGCCTCCATGTGTGGTGTGAACCCAGACAGTGGCTTGTTCAGTAAACCACAATTCGCAAACCGTTGGTTTGGAAGTCCACCCATCCACCCATGGGTGAGAAAGACTGCATTAAACTGAATTCAATCCACAGATAAAACAGGGTGAACTGGGCACAGGAGATGAGTGAAATCATGGCCTTTTTTTCTGGGGTTACTGGCATTGGCAAAGCTGGGGACATGCTCACCCCACCCCAGCTACTAAGAGAACAGTCTACCAAAACAGATGCCAATTGAATCAAACCTTTAGGATTGGCATCCAAGCTTTTGGGGCAGTCTGAAGTCAGTGGTGTCAGAAAACTCTCCTTTGTCCCAATTGCCCAAGAGCCTCTGAGCATCCATAGACCTCATGCCGCCTGACGCAACAGCCTGCCGAGGTTGGCACTTTTCCTAACCCTTGTGGTTACTGGTCCTCCCTCCCTTCCCTGTCCAAAGGGCGGCCAAGGGCTGGGCTCCTATAAAGCCGGAGACACCTCAGCCGAGTGGAAGAGAAATCAGGATTAGTTGATCAGCTGGAAAGGCAAGTCTGGAGGGTTTTGTTTTTTTTTGCAAGGGGGGAGGGAAAAGTTTGAAGTGGGGGTCTTGATGGGGGAGGGGGAGGAAAGAGGGATGCGGAGAAAGGAAGGGGTTCCTTCCAACTAGCTGGGCAAGTAAACTCATCTTGGTTAGCCTATTGAAGAGAGGGATTAGGGAAGAGATGATAGCTGTTATTGTATTGGAGGGGGTGTCACAGAGAAGGGGGGGGTCTCTTATTCTCCAAAGAGCCTGAAGGCAGGAGACAAGAAGCAATGGATGCTTCTTTCCTAACAAACAGAAATCTCCTGACACTGAGAACAATTATCCAGCGGAACTGCTTGCCTAAAGAAGTTTTTAAGAAGAGACTAGATAGGCGTTTGTCTGGAATGGTATAAGAAGGTCTCCTGATTGAGCAGAGGGCTGGACTAGAAGACCTCCAAGGTCCCTTCCAATCCTATGATTCTGTGTTCTACACTTTGAGCATTATCACAGGAGGGAGATCGTGAAAAAAAAAAAAAGCCATTTCCCCCAGAAATATGATAACAGTCTTCCAAGAAGGAGGAGATTGATGTTGGCACGGCAAGTCTCACTCCACTGCTTTTAGCCCGATCACTTTTCTTTTTATTTTGATCAGAGACCTGTAGCCTTCTCCTTTTCAGATCTGTCCTTTCTGGGGCTCTCTTGGGACCAGGCCAGTTTTTCATAGCCACAAAAAATGGAGACGACAATGCCCAAACTCCTTAGGCATAGAGTTCAGTTTTTAGCAGAAAAAGAGGGTTAGATAAAGCAGTTTTTGCTTGTTCGCTCATGTCAATCAAGAGCAGGGAAGTATTGGAAAAAACTCAAAAAAGGAAGAAAAGAAGAAGGAAAGGACAAAAGGAAGCAAAGAAAGCAAAGTAAAAGTATAAAATCGGTCTCGGGGCCTTCTATTTATCTAGCTACCCCATCCATCAAGATGTCCCTTTCTCAAACCAGAAATAAATTCAGAAAACAACACGCCTTAACCCAGTTCTCTCTTCCCCTAGAGCCTGAATCCTATTCCCTGCAGCCTGATGGATTATGCAAAGAAATACCTGGATCTTCTCAGCCCCCAATCACTTTCCAGGTAAGTCACGATCGATAAGCAGCAATCGATAAGCCCCTCATCCCCCCCGTCTTGAATTACAGGTAAGTCCTTGACTTAACAACCATTCATTTAATTGACTGTTCAAGGTTACAGTGGCACTGAAAAAAGTGACTCTGTGACCATTTTGCAGTCACGTGATTAAACTTCAGATGCTTGGTACTTAGGACGGTTGCCAGTATCCCGGGGTCACGTGATCCAACTTAGCGAACTTCTGACTAGCAAAGTCACGGATACGAAAGCTCTTAGTCAGGAGGGAAATAGGGAAAGACGGGAGAGGAGTGAAGATGGTTCAAACCTGGCTGGCCAAGAGGGGGGCGTTTTTATCCTCTCCCCCTCCCTCAACTGACCTTTCCTCTTCTTCCAGATGTGTCTCAGCCAGTGCTTCCGCGACCCAGCAGCTGCTGAGCGGCCCCACTGCCCGTCCCAGGCCGTACCGTGTGAGCAACTGCGAGCGCACCCTGCGCAAAGGCATCATGGCGGAGAGTCTGAACGACCTGCTTGAAAAAGTAAGTGGTAAATGCAGAAAAGAAAACAAAATAAACTCCTGGGACAGTGTTTTTTACCAAAAGTATCACTTTACTGATACTTCCACATAGGCACAGAAGTAGCAAAGCCAGTTCTGAAGTTTTTGCGCACAAAATAGCATAAGTAAAAATTGCCTTTTCCCCTTCTGAGCCACCCGCTGTCCATTGTCCACCAATCAATTACATTCATTTTGTTTTTGGGGAAACGGCCTGAGCGCTTTGGAGCTTTCCCCTCGTTTCACCTTGGGGTCAAGGGACGCTTCCAGGCTACAGTCGGTTCACTTACATTCCACAATGACCCAACTAGGTAACGTCATCAGCACAAGAAGGGAGAGGAGGAGGAGGAGGAGGAGGAGGAAGGGAGGGAGGGAGGGAGGGAGGGATGGATGGATGGATGGATGGATGGATGGATGGATGGGTGGATGGATTATGGGGTCCTTGGTGTTCTCTGAACTTGGTGGTTTTCTTGCAGATATTTCATCACCCAACTAGGTAATATCATCAGTGCTAAATCTTTCAAAATCCATGTCAGTTTTTTTTTTTAACGGAGGCCAATGGGCCCTGGGTGAAGTACTGGGTGATCTTCTCATCACTTCATCCAAATAAAAACTATTAGTGTCAAAGCTTCCTTTCTAAGCCAGCTTGCTCAAGAGATGCTCCCTTGTTAATGAACCCTGATTCCTAGGCTGTCTGGAACTGCAGGGTATCCAATCTAATTTATTACCGCAGGTACGAACTGCTCTGGACTTAGTGGGGTCCATCAGCGTTGTCTTGGATGAAGATGGCACCAGCATAGAATCAGAGGCGTTCTTCCAAACTCTAGAAGAAGGAATGGTATTGCTGGCCTTAACTGAGGGACAGGTGTGGCGTCCAGCCAAGGTGAGGAGCCAAATTTAAGACTTAAGCCAGTAAAATGTGTTAATCTTCATTTCAAGGACATACTATTGTCTGGTTGGGTTAGAAATGTGGGCATCTGCTTCCTTCCCGGGAAGGAAGATCAAAGGATCTTTGACTAAGTTGGAAGCACATGTCTGTTGGGTTTAACCATGGCTTCTTGAATAAGCCACCACTGACTTGGCTTCTTCCCAAGAATGGTAATCCACATCTAGGTTGGAAGCACCCAGCTGTTGGGTTGAACCATGGCTTCTTGAGTAAGCCGCTATTGGCTAGGTAGAGAAGGACAGCCACAAGATGGAAGTGGCTCACTAGGAAAAAATTGTCTGTTGGAATGGGCGTTTCCAGAAATCAGAAGGTTTATTTTTAATTTAATTTATTTATTTGGTAACTGTATATGACTGCCCATCTCAGTTGCATGGCAAACAGTTAAGTCTCTTTTGCATACGTCACAAATGAGTTAATTGAGTACCTGGGTTGTGTGAACCTAGCCTAGGATGCTAATGCTAGGTTGCTCAGCCCTTGTGAGGCAAAGGATGGCCATCCAGAATTCTGTCTGAAAGCGAAAAAGCACTCTCTCCCTCCAGGTTTTATGGAAATGAAACATTTGAAAGTTGATTTTAAATGCTAGAGCATTTTATTATTCTGCTTGTAAAGCTGCCTGTGATCATGGAAGAAAAGGGCAGTTTAAATAAGTATCATCACGATAAAGGCAATTCCCAGCAAACCGTATTAGAGAAAGGAAATGGAACACATAAGTGCTGAAATTGATAACTCTCAGGGTTACGTTTGAGATGCTTGGGTGAAGAGAAAGGGAGAAAAACAGATTTTCCTCGCTTGGCTATAAATGCCGGTCATGAATGGATTGCTCTTTAATCACGAGGACTAGAATCCTGAAAAACAAAAGCTACCGCAATAGGTAGCCTTCGTGGGAAAGGAGGCTGTGCAAAACTTGGATGCAGAGACTCTGTTCAATAGTGATAATTACACAATACAGGATAACCGATTTGGAAGGGATCTTAAAGGTCTTCTAGTCCAGCCCCCTGCTCAAGCAAGAGATCATATACCATTCTGCACAAATGACTATCCACTCTCTTTTTCAAAAGCTCCAGTGATGGAGCACCCACAACTTTTGACGGCAAGCTGTTCCACTGGTTAATTGTCCTCACTGTTAGGAAGTTTCTCCTTAATTCCAGGTTGCTTCTCTCCTTGATTAGTTTCCACCAGTTGCTTCGGGTGCTTTGGAAAATAGACTGAATTCCCTCTTCTCTATGGCTGCACCTCAAGTATTGGAAGACTGCAATCATGTCACCCCAATCCTTCTCTTCATTAGACTCTCAAAGGGTTGCTTTTCCATTTTTTTGTCCCCAGAAAGCTGGTTACCAGCTATCTCTGTCCAGCAAGCCTCGGCGTCGGATTGACGTGGCCTGCATCACATTTGATCTGTACAAGACGAAGCCCCAGGACTTCTTTGGCTCTTTGAACGTCAAGGCCACTCTTTATGGGACCTACACCATGTCCTACGATATGCAATGCTATGGGGCCAAGAGGATGATGAAGTAAGTCTCTTTGCCTCCCTGGGTTGGCCCTTCCCATAATCCTTTGGGATTCGTAATCCTTTAGGATTCCTCCACAATTTGCTCACCAGTGTCTCACGTTTTATTATGACTTATTGTTTTACTATTTTAATGCGTACGAGTTTGAATGTTTCTCACCTCTGATGAGATGGGGGGGCACAAGAAAGAAAGAAAGAAAGAAAGAAAGAAAGAAAGAAAGAAAGAAAGAAAGAAAGAAAGAAAGAAAGAAAGAAAGAAAGAAAGTGGGAGGGAGGGAGGGAGGGAAAGAAAGAAAGAGAGAGGGAGGGAGGGGAAGAAAGAAGAAAAGAAAGAAAGAAAGAAAGAAAGAAAGAAAGAAAGAAAGAAAGAAAGAAAGAAAGAAAGAAAGAAAGACTGACTGGATCTTTGCCAGGTTTTATTGAACATACTACCCCAAAATTTGTGGGCCGTAAGGGTTAAGTTCCCATGTTAATGTTACAGTCCAGATACAGCAGGAATGGGCTCAGTCAGGAAAACGATAACCAACCGTGATTTTGGCTGTTATCCTGAGATTCCAATTCAGGCTTCTATTAATGGGAGAAAAGAGTGTTTCTCAATCTTGACAATGCTAAGATTCAATTCCCAGAATTGTGCTTGGCTCAGAAAAGGGCAAAGGCTCTGCATCAAGAAATGCTTTGGAACTAACCGTGGATCTCCCCGTAAACCAAGGTCCTGTCTATGCATGTCGCTTTGTTGCTCTTCTTCCATGTGTTGTTTAGACATAGCACCCAAGTGTGTTCTTTTCCTCTTCCCTCCTCACCTCACTTCCTTTCATGTCATGTCTCTGCATGCTGTAAATCTAAGATCTCTTGGGGTGCTCGTGGAAGCGTCCAGAAAGGGGAGTTTTTCCAGCAAAGCACAGAGCAAAAAAAAAAAGTTTTAAATAATAAGAGATGAAATGTGTTAGCTCAAAGTTCAAAGAGAACCTCAAAACGATGATTGTAAACCGTCTAGGTGGCCTTGGTGCTCCCTGACCATCTCTCTCTCTTTCTCTCTCCAATTTCTCCTGCTTTTCTCAGAGAAGTTCTGCGCTGGACCCTCTTCACCATGCAAGCCACGGGGCACGTCTTGCTGGGCACTTCCTGTTACATGCAGCAATTGCTAGACACTCCAGAAGAACAGAAGGAAGAAATTTTGCCTTCCTTGTGTCGTCCTTCTATCGCTCTCCCCTCCTCTCTCACCCGGAGAATGTTGCAATGAATTGGGAGGGGGAGATATTTTCTGCCCCACTGCTGCTACGGACTCTGAGAGCAAGGGGTGTTGACATCCTACATGTAAGGCACCCTCCAAGATCATGGAGGGAGGGATGGGCACTTCTCTGCACCTGCTGGAGTGGAAAAGCACAGCCAACGTCAAAACATTTTGACTCTTGTCTCACAATTCTAGGCACTCACTGTTTCTTGTAAGTTATCATGTGTGTTGCTTCTTGTCCAGCTCGGCAGCCAGAATTGGTGCAGAAAAAGACCAGGGTTTCACCTTTCCTTATTTATATATAGATAGATAGATAGATATTCCAACATGTATAGGTAACTGCACAGCTAGCATGATGCCACGTTGACTTGTATTACACTGTAAATATGTGAATTAAAAAGCAACCTTTTCTTAAACCGTGATGGGATCTCTCTCTCTCCTTTCTCCTGCCTTGTTCTAAGGTGGGTAGTTTAATAGAAAATACATTTGCAGGCCCTCAGTTGCTTCCTAGAACTGAAAAAAAAACAAACAAACACAGAGCTGGGTGTATGTGGCAATACATGAAAGGTAGTCCTTGATTTATGGCCAAAAATGAGCTTGAAATTTCAGTTGCTAATCAAGACGGTTGCTAAGGGAATTTTGCCCCATGTTACGGCCTTACTTGCCGCAGTTGTTAAATGAATCGCTGAGGTTTTAAGTTAGTAACCTGGTTGTTAAGTGAATCTGGCTTCCCCCATTGACTTTGCTTGTCGGATGGTCGCAAAAGGAGACACCGCAAAGGTCATAAATACGAGCCAGTTGCCAAACATCCGAATTTTGATCACACGAGCAAAGGGATGCTGCAATGGCCCAAAAGTATGAAAAATGGTCATAAGTCCCTTTTGAATGGTCACTAAATGAATAGTCAGTTGTAAGTCAAGGACTACCTATATACTATCATTCTGGTCCCCTTAATCGCTTTATTTTTGTGAATATTTTTTGATGAAAGGAAGATTTTACAAAGGTTTTAAAAACCGCAGAAAGGGAGAAGAGGAAAGAGGAAAGGAGATTCTAAAAAGTCAATAATAATAATAATAAAAGTTATCCGCACACAGAGCAGTTACCCTCTCCCATCTGGCCTATCATCGTTCCCTTTTTCCCATCAATGGCCCTTTTTCATCATGACATCCTGAAATGGCTTCATTTTTATCCATTTCCAGCAAAAAGTCTGCAAAGTGTTTCCCGGTTGTTTTTTTTTAAAAAAAGTAATTGTAGTTCTCTCCTTAATCAAAGAAGTCCATTGAGCCGTTTCTGCAAACTCAGCCGGCTTCACAATCCATTCCTCCATTTATTGGTCTTTCTGCAGTGCTCCATCGTTGTGCATATAATAGCCTTGCATACTTCCCATGTATAAAACCAATTCTCCATCAGCCTTTTGCATTTGAGTGTCCATCAGTCCTAATAAGAAAAGTTTCGGTTTCATCTGAAGATTTGTTTTCAAAACTCTCCATATCACAGTATGTATTTGTTCCCAGTACCTTTTCGGTTTTTCAGATCACCATGCGCGATAAAATATCCTTTTATATTTTTCACATTGCCAACCTTTAGACATCTTAGACCTTGTCTCCGGTGTCATATTTCCATAGAATTATAGGGCTGGAAGGGATCTTGGAGGTCTTCTAGTCCAACCCCCTTCTCAATACCGTTTCAGACAAATGGCTGCTCAGTCTCTTCTTGAAAACCTCCAGTGATGGAGAACCCACAACTTCCAGAGGCAAGCCGTTCCACTGCTTAATTGTTCTCACTGTTAGGAAGCTTCTCCTTAGTTCTAGGTTGCTTCTGTCTTTAACCCTTCAGATTGTACCTCAGCCATTTGCAATGCCACATAATCCAAGAAAATCAAAGTCACGAGAACTAGAAACTTTAAAAAGCAACCAGCACTGCCCTGCTATGCAAAATACCTGCTAAAATTCGCTGCACAGCAAATCTGCAACCCTCCCCCCCCCTTTTTTTTTTCTTTTGCAATAGAATCTATTTGTAGACCTCTGGCTCTCTTGCAATATTAAAAAGCCGTGGCCATTACGAGATAGTTGAAGATTCTCCAGGGACTAGTTAAGGAACTTAAATGGCCTGAGCCATATGAAAAGCAGGGAAGTTTAATAAGGCCGTTTTCATGGCCAAGTCCTTTAGCTTCGGAGGTCAGGAAGCATCTGCCTTCATTTTTTTGTTTTTTTTAAGGGGGGGGGTTTAAGAGAAGATGTTTAGGAGCCTGTCTGTCTGTCTGTCTGTCTGTCTGTCTGTCTGTCTGTCTGTCTGTCTATCTATCTATCTATCTATCTATCTATCTATCTATCTATCTATCTATCTATCTTCATTGGAATTTTACTTTCAACAGATGTACTAATGAGGGTTCTTTTGGAGAAAGTCCTTTAAATTCACTTAAGAGAATTTTTCCCATCTCAGCATGCCAGGAGCCAGAATTCTTGCAAGCCATGTCATGCTTGGCTTAACAAGGATATTGATTAAATATCTTTCTGCTAAGACATAAAGCCCGATGGTGGCTTAGCATGCTATGTGAACTCAGTGGGAGATTTTTATTTGTTTGCGGGGCGGGGGAGAGAATAAAAGTGGTGGGAGACTTCACACAAGATCTCAAGCTAAAACAGTTGCTTGTTTGTGTGAAGCACGTGGAGGGATGGTGTTCAGGCTGGCCCGTCCTACAGGACTTTAGTAGAGGCAGAGACAGCTTCTCTCTGCCACGAACTCAGCTGTTCTTCCTGGGAATGATGGCTGCAAGTAATGCTCAACTCACAACCACAATTTTGTGCCTGGAATTTCTGCTGCTAAGCAAAGCGGTTAAGTGATTTTGCGAAGTTTTCTTTTCCCCCCGTGGTTGTTAAATGAATCACTGCAGCTGTTAAATGAATTGTGCGGTCATAAAGCATATATAAGGAACGGTTGCTGGAATTGGGTATGTCAAGTTTAATGAAAAGAAGGACTAGGGGTGACATGATAGCAATCATCTCAGGGGTTGCCACAAAGAAGGGGGGGAAAACAACTTATTCTCCAAAGCGCCAAAAGGCAGGATGGAAACTAATCAAGGAGAGAAGCAACCTAGAACTAAATTTTGGCTTACTTATGAGTGACTTAACAGGCTCATACTATCATCCCTGATACAGTCGTTTAGACTGTAGATTCCACTGAATCTTTCTTCAAATACTGTGAAGGGTTAAATAAATATGGTTCTACGCCATCTGTCATCTCTGCCTGACCATTATTGACTCAGATATTCATTGGCCGATATAAAATATGAATGCAGTATTGTTCAGTTCAAAATATATCTTCTTGGAGAGCTTGCAAAAAGGAAAGCATGAAATAAAATAACCAGAAGACCAGAAAGCCATATCCAAGTTAGCACTACGGACAAAAGAAATGCATTTGCTACCTCAAATATGTCTGAACTTCTTGTTTTTTATATAAATATTGGGCAAAGAGCAATCGATATAATGTATTCAAACTTTAAAACATAGATTAAAAGCTCTGGGATTTTTTAAAAAATATGTATTTTACTGAGTGGGTATGTTTCTGTTTTCTTATTTATACTATTTCTGTCTTACTATTTGGCGTAATTTTCCTTTTCTGTATGTTGCAGCAATAAAAAAAAAAGATACCCTACAGATAATTTAATTGTGGAAGGATGAAAGTGTCCTATCAAGTTCAAAGGCTAATTTTAGCATAGTTGCACAGAAGATTCCCAGACAAGGAGAGGATGAGGCATTGGGCTGCCAGGAAGAATTTATGGAGTGATTCCCATAGATCAGAGCTCATTGGGCAACATCCTAGAGCAACATCTGGGCCCGAGTCCAGCTAGGACAATGTTGAAATGGCCTTCTGAAAGTCTCTCCTTGTCCCACCAAAACTCAGTCCAAAAGAATTGGGTGGATGGTTGCTACAAATTTCTCTCGGGGAAGGAGAAATAATCCAGCTAGATCTCCAGGACAGGATGTCCCCTCAGTAATTATAATAATGTCTGCCCAGGTGGGCCTTCAAGTCAGCGTTGACTCCTGACAACCACTTGAAGTAGACCTTGAGATCTTCTTGGCAAGAAGGGATTCGCCCTTGTCTTTTTCTTCTTGGGGCTGGTCAAAAAGTCATCCTGCTGGGCGTTGTGCTTAAGATAGGACTAGCCTCCTACTTTTCGACACTACACCTAATAACAGAGAATAACAGAGTGGGGAGAGACCTCGGAGGTCTGCTAGTCCAACCCCTTGCTCGAGCAGGTGAAGCGAAACATTTTCTTTGAACTGATGAAGCTTCTCGGATGACAAGCCAGAACGTTATCGTCTTCTTCCTCAAGGGAAAAAAAACCCGATCCAGTTGCCTTTGGAAGAAAAGCGGGGGGGGAAAGCACCTCAGACTTTTGATTCTCATCCCAGAATCACATGCCACTCAGCCAAGGTTAGATCTTCCAGACTCCTGACCATAACAGGGCCATAAAGTCCTGGTGCCAAATTTGGATTAAAAAAAACCCTTGGGATTGTCTTGCGTTTGTTGGGATCTTCTGCACTGTTAATTAGTGTGGAAACTAGCTACTCTTGGGATATCTCTGCTGCCCTTATTAAGGAGGTCCTGACAGCCTGTTAAGAGATTTGAGTCCTGCTCTTGCTTGGTACATCCGCTTTTTATGTTATGCTTTGAAATCTGTTTGCTTGAGCTAATAATAAAGCTGAAAATCCTTTTAATCAACGGAGGAGGGTTCATTGTCTCTGGATCCAAAGGAACCAATTGCTAGGGCACTTGGCAAAATGTCCCTCCAGGAACGGATGGGAAAAACAACTCCTCTCTCATCAAACGGAATGACTGAGCAAGAAAGCAAGAATCCTTTTCTGGATTCTGCACTGCTAAACCTCCAAATATATCCATAACCTGCTGATGGCAATATCAGCCCAATGTCAGTGAGGTCCCTGCAAGAAGCTCTTTCCTCTGGCCTCCCCAAAAAGCAAAGATTCCCATAACGGGCAAAATAATTAAAGGCTTTGGTTGCTGATTTAGCCCAATGAGGGATCTCCCCTTTCAGTGCTAGCAATTCGATATCGAAGAATCAGGGGCTGATCGCCCCATAAATCAGTCAAGGAGAGGGAACATGTGCTTATTTATTTATAGAGAGATTTTTATACAACTCTGCTTTGTGAGACTCAAGGCAATTTTCGATACAACAAGAGCCATGTGATAAAAACCAGTGTAAACATCGGAATCAATTGCAAAGGCAATTAATCCCGGATCCATTGTCAGCTCCTAAAGCAAGTCAGGACAAAGTGATTTTAACAGCATTGCACCTGTTCCCAGAAGGACGAGAGGTGACAGGATAACAGTGCTGCAATATTTGAGGGGCTGCCACAAAGAAAAGGGGGGGGGGTCAACTATTCTCCAAAGCACC